GGGAATATACCTTATAGCATACAAATTCTCGTACTATAAATATATATAGTGGCAGCTCCCTAACAACTTGATCCGCTGTAGCACTGGTTAATTCCTTCTCTATGTGAAAGAATCCGGGTTCGAACCCCGGCAGCGGAAATATTTTTTTGATCATTTTATCAGTATCAAGTCTAGGACGTTTTGTAAAGAGAGCAAATAAAGTATCCTAAGTTTTTTCTAGTAAAGGGAACGAATGACATAGCATGTAATAGGAAAAATTATGAATAAATTAACACAAAAATAGTCCTACTACTACGGGTAAGCTTAGGAAGAACTCGCTACTATCTGTTAACCTACAACCTTAATCCTTGATCTCCACGTATTTCTATCGTGGGTCATATCCTCGGTAAGCTGGAGCAATGACATGTCTTGCTTAACTACCTCTCCTCAATACCTTCTTAGGCTTGTCCTTTCCCTTCCTCAAACCCGCAATGGACAACCTCTCACACTTCCTGGCCGGAGCATCTATGTCTCTCCTCTTCACATGCCCGAACCATCTCAGTCTCACCTCCCGCAACTTGTCCTCCACAGATGCTACTCCTAGGATAGGAGTATTATGGAAAAATAATACATGTATTAGTTTTGATATTAGTGATTTCTTGTTTGGTAGTAGTATTTTTCAACTTATGTACGTATAACTAGTAGTACATATTACATATTACATATATTAGTTATACACTATATTTGATATTATTTTATGTAAAACTATACCAACCATTTTAAGTGTGACATTCCTATTATTATTATTTTTTGAATCATTTTTTGCAATCGGCACTCGACTTATGTAGCTACAACATAACATGTATAATATCATCAGAATATCATACTCTCATAACGTTACATGATGACTACACATACCCTTTTGCTTGGCAATTTGGACAAGCTGAAAATTTGCAACTGCAACAACTTGATATTGTCAATAAAATGTCACCTTTGTATGATGATCTCTCAATACATGTACAGTAATTTTGGAATAGCGATGCAAAATCGAAAAGAAGAGTATGAGCGAGCTAGCTCATTTTCCATAATAAGAAAATCTCACATTCTCGTCCTAACGGATGACCAACCTATTAAAGTATCTTTCTGAATGAAGTGTTTTAAGTAAGTAATTAATACATTTTACCTTATTATAGACTAGTTTTATGTGTGTGTTACGGTTAATAGTCTCTGAGAAAGAAAATTAAATATTTTGTTTTCCATAAAAGAAAAAAATGCGAATTAAAACCAAAGAACACACACATAACATCTTGTTTGGATGGTTGTTACCTGCTGTATTGTATCGTATTATTACTTTAAATGCAATAATTATTTTGATTGTTATTTAAATTTTAAAATGTACATCGTATCGTTAAACCCGTCATTATGTAACGATAAAAAGTGCCACTTTAGGCCGATTTGATGTGGTCGCGTCGTTCCCTTATTTTTTCTCTCATCTTGCCCTTCCATATTATTAAATAATCCTATTTTATCATTTACATTACCTTTTTATGTAATAATTTTACCTCGTACCTTATTTTTCTTTATTTGACAAGAGGGGTTGCTCTGATGGTAAGCAACCTCCACTTCCAACCAAGAGGTTGTGAGTTCGAGTCTCCCCAAGAGCAAGGTGGGAAGTTCTTGGAGGGAAGGATGCCGGGGGTCTATTTGGAAACAACCTCTCTACCTCAGGGTAGGGGTAAGGTCTGCGTACACACTACCCTCCCCAGACCCTACTAAGTGGGATTATACTTGGTTGTTGTTGTTGTTGTTGTTGTTGTTGTACCTTATTTTTCTTTATAATATTGCAAGTTTATTTTTTCATATTATTAGTGCATGACATCATGAGACGACGGAAAACAACACAATATATCCAAACATTGTATACATCAAAACGATACAGTACAATAAAATACAATACATTATGAAACGATACATAACAACCAGCAAACAAGCTGTTAACTGGATGCTTGCGAAATGAAAAAGAATAAAATTAAACAGATTATTTGGCTAAAACAAATAGAATAATAATTTTGCGGTTCCTTCCTTTATATGTGAACTTTTTTGTGTGTGTGGTTAAAACATATTAATAGTAATAATAAATAATTACATGCAGAGGGTCATTACAGAGAGTAGAGCTCCTGTCCTAAGAGCAAAAAGGTTCTCAAAAACGAACCAAAATATTACAAATAACAGTTGTACTTTTTTTTAATAATTATAATCTTCGACCTAAGCCAAAAAAAAAAAAAAAAAAAAAAATTGTGGTTGGCAGATAGATATTTGAGTCAAAATATGCTCGCTTCATTCCTCCCTTAATTTGATCTATAATAATAGGTAAATCTTCATATTAGATTCGACAGTACCTGCAAAATAGAATACTAATAATTTTACGATAATCAATTAAATTACTGATAGTATAAAAATTCTTTACACTTATGGATAAAACATAAAGGAAAAAGCGAGTTGGATTCTGCTTCTCCAGAGGTATCGTCTTGTGCTTCTCAATACTATCATAGCTAAATTAATGTTATGTGTACGTCTTAATTTTCAAAAGGGTTAGACTTCTTTTGTAATTTTTGTAAACAGATAAAAAATTAATTAATAATAATAAAAAAAAGAAACACAATGTTGAAGAAGTTGAGACAGAAAATCAATATTACCACGGAAGGTGAAAGCTCGGGTGGATGGTTTTATTTTTTGAAAAAAAAACCCCGAAAGCCCGCACTGTCAATCTCCCTAAAAAAACCACCTTTTTTTCTTTGTGTAAGCACGTAATTTTTGACCCGAGCAACTTTTAAAAAGTAGTATTTTTAAAGAAATAATTAGGATATTTATTTGGGTTTATTTCTATAGGATTTTATTTTATTACTAATTTTAATTCTATTTTTAAGGCACAAAAACTAAAAAATATACATACATTATATATATATATAATTTCATGTTTTACTTTATTTCTATTTAGTTTAAGTTATTAATATTTTTATGGCCATATATTTTATTTTACCATGATTTTCACTCTTATTTTTAATCTATATAAAACATGATATATTAAAATATATGGTTTCATATTATCATGTAGTTTATTTAATTAATTGAAATTAGTTTAGTTTTAATTTAAAAGTTTTAGTTTGTTATTTAATGGACTTTAAAAATTAAGAAGTACAAATTTGAAGCCCCATTTCTACACAAAAGGAAGCCCAAAATCGGACAACCTAAACCAACCCAATATACGACCGGATCCAACCCATGACCCGCCCATAACCTGTCTTACCTATCTCCTTTTTTGTTTTAATCCTAGCCCTTCACCTATCTCCCATCCAATGGCCAAGATTTATCCTCACCTTAATATAAAAACCTAATATTTCTAAACCCTACCCTAATGTAACACCACCCAGGCAGCGCCCCCCTTCATCCTGTCCCAACCGCGCTTCAGCCACGGTAAGACCACCAAAAAACCTTGCTCACTCATGGTCCCCCTCCTCTCCTTTCCTTCTTCTACGTCATCAAGACCATAACGACCTCTGACAAGAAGATTCCATCCCCCTCACGCGCTCTTCGCTCACACGATCTGCTTGAGGCGAGAGAAGATGAATGGTGAGCGTAGGATTGAGTTCTAGCTCGATCTACTACCTCCATTTATCCCTTACTTGCTTCAACAAACGGATTTGGGAATTTTGAAGGATTTTCTTGGAGAAGAAGAATAGAAGTTTCTAGGACTCCTATAAATTGGGGTTATTTGGACGGAAAAGAGGGGATTTTTGGAGAAAGAAGAAGAAAAGAAAAGTACTAGGGTTTTATATTGGGTTTCCAAATTTTTCTTCGGATTT